AGCCACCTCACCCACCACCCAGCAGAGAAGAGCGAGGATCAAGCCACTTTTGGGTCCCATCCCTCCTTCTTCCAGCAAACCCTGGCACAGAGAGCCAGAGCTGCTCCTCCAGCCTTTTTATCCCCCCAGGAACAGGAGCCGTCCGCCCCTGGGCTCCCATTTGGGGACCAATGGCACCCAAAGGCCAGCCCTCATGGGTGCGGGGAGAGGGGAGGCACGACCCAAGTGTTTCCGGGGTGCTGGGACCCCCTGTTCCTGGGCTGCCCGAGGCAAGAGAAAACATCCTCGTCAGCCTCTTTGGAGGAGATGTTTATAAAACTCAGCAGAAGCTGGAGACGGGGAGACTGGTACAAAGTAGCTTGTTTAGGTTATAAGGTGATAAGGGACTTTTCAAGGCTGCTGGGGAGGTGACAAGCAGGGGGCAGGTCCATGATCCCAATCTGGGTGCTTCCCATCCCCTGCATGGTGACCATCCCTGGCTGGCGCTGTCAGCCCCCCTGGGACTTCAGTTTTCTGCTGAGATGCTGATGAGCTTGCAGCTCTAGCTGAAACAGGAGCTTTAAGCATCTCCCAGCTCCTCAGCGGGGCCAGAACTGGGATATTTGGTCAGTGCTAACCCAGCAGCAGCTGATGGAGCACCCTCACCACTGCCATGAGTGTGGCCATTCTCAGCAGGGGCCAAACAACCCCCCTTTCAGCCTCGGCAGAGCTGCAACCTTTCATTTTATCTCAGCTCTTTGTCTTGTGTTTGGTTTGTTGCCTTCAAAGAAACGGGCTCAGGGTAGAAGAAGCCAGAGGTGAGGTGTTCCATCCATCACTCCCTTCTCCATGCTGCAGCACCCCAGTTTGTATCCCACCCTCCACAAACAGGACTGGGCATTGCCTGGCTCCTCACAGCTGGGGAACAGGGAAAACTGCTGAAAAATAAACCCAGTATGTTTTCAAACCTCATTATTGGAGTTTTTATCCTTTCTTTTGAGCACCTTTAACTCTTTTCCTTGCTGGGGAGCATCCTGTTGGCTCTGTCTGAGGGTTGCGCCGTTTCATATCCCAAATTGCTCTCCATCTTTTGGGATATCCCTGGCAAGCCTCAGGGATAGCAGAAAGCCTCTTATTTTGATATTTGAGCTGGAGCGGCTCAGCCATATCTGGGAACATAAAAAGAAAGCTTTAGGGGCAGATGTTGGCCAGCCCTCTCCTAACAGAAATCCCACTGGTTTTGGAGCTGGGACTGGTTTGTACTTGACTCAACAGCCCCAAAACCCACCTGTGTGGAGTTTTGCCAACCTAAAAACCTTCTGCCTTTCTCCCCAGGAACTGATGTTCCATCCCTGCTGCTGTCAGCAGATCCAGGACTTCGCTTTCGTGTTTAAAATACCTTGAGATTGGTGCTTACGTAGAAATGCCAGGGATTCCAGTAGGCTGAGCCCCATGCTGTGCATCGGTGAGATAACAGCAGCGGCTGATGCTGAATCAGTAAATAATAGGCTGATCCCCTCCCCGGGTGGAAAGCATCACTGCTCAGCCAGGTCCTTGGCTGCAAAGACCATGGGAGATGCCTGATCTCACCCCATCGTATCCTGGAGAGCCACAGCTCAGGGGTTGGCTCCAGGTTTAGGTTGTGGGTCTCTAGGTACCAAGAATTGATCCCAGCAGGAGAAGAAATCCTTCTGATGGGTAACCTTGTGCTTACACGGCTCAAATTAGCAGTGGTGAAACCCAGGTGGAGAAACACACCCAGACTCAAGGAAAAAAAAAGGGGATTTCTGCTCCCAGGTCCTTACCAGAACCAGTTATCCCATCTTTATTCCAAGCATGACACTGGCTGTGGACCAGCACAGCTGGGAAAGAGATTCAGCTCATTTTTTTGGAGGAGGTAGGGACCAGAAAGTCCCATGGCACTGGACAAGCACAAACACCAATGTTTTTCCCCCATTGCATAAAGGAGACTTTAAAAACACATCTCATTTTTTGCTTAGAACATAAAGTTTCAAGTAAAAAAAAAAACTCTCATCACATGGCAAGGTTAGTGCTGCTGTTGAGCTTCTGCAGATCCCAGGATGCTGCCTGGGGAGCGGCAGGAACTGCTGGAGGGGGCTGGCTGCTCTGGAAAGCCAGAGAGTGTTTCCTCATCCTCAATTTCTTGAGCAGATATGGCTAATATTAGTCTTCCTTCCTGGAGCTAGCTAAGGTATTTTGCTAAAAAGGCTGCAGGGCAGCTGTGCCAAGCAACACAGAGAAAGGCTTTCATTTAAAACTCTCCTCTGTGCATCTCAGCAAACCAGAGAGAAAGTCCCCTCAGAGCACATATGCCAAGGGATGATGGTTGGGGCATTGAACATCTGGAGATCTTCATCAACAAGGAATCAGTTATGTGAGGATTTAACATGTCAGCAGCCACAGCCTGTGGTCTGGGAAGTTTAGGCGAAAAAATATTTATTCCCCAGGAGGGTTGTGCAGCCCTGGGCTGGGAATGCAGAGGTGAGAGATCTTCATCCACAGACATTGCCATCCTCAGCCAGGCCAACACAGGACTGAAACATCTGGCGTTGGACTGGAGACCTTCCAAGATCACTTCCACCCACATTTCCATGCCCTCCTCCACTCCCTTCTGCCCCCAAAGCAGACAGCTCACAGCTCTAAGGGGATGGTGAAGATTTCTCTGAGCTATTCTCTCTAAAAGCATCTACTTCCCACTTTGCTACAAGACAAGGACCAAACCCCTCCAGGAAGGGTCAGATTACATGGATGAGGAAAGAGGCCAACCCAAAGCCAGTGCAGCTCCCTGATCCAATCCAGAGCTAACCTTTTAATTTTGAAGGAGAACTAATTTGCTTTTAGATCCTTGAGCAGCCAAGAGAAGGGATGGGACTGTGGCTTAGGTGACCCAAACTCCAGCTAGGCACCTTGTGCCAAAGAGTTCCCACGGTAAGGTGACATCTATCAAAGGGCATCTGGCTGAGGGGCTCCAGGGTGCTGGTTGACACCTAAAGACACAGTAGGTTGTGCAAGACACCACTTTTCTCTGTCCCTCACAACCAAAACTGCTGCCCAAGCTCCCCCAGAGCAGGACAAGAGTCCTCCTGCCTCCTGCAAAATCAGCTCAAGGGGTGGCCTTATGCTGTGGGCAAGCCCCAGCTCCTCACAGCAAATCCCAAATCCAGCATCCCAAAAGTGTTCAGTTCCTAACACCGCCTAAAGTGGGAACCTCTCCCAGCTAGTGGAGAAGCAAGAGGTCTTGGGTTTGGGGCAGGAACATCTTGCCATTAGAGCTACTCTGCTAAGCAGAAAAGCACAAATTTCACAGCAATGGGAGGGGAAAATAATAACAATAATAGAAAGCAAATGTGACTCAAGCATGTCAGAAAGCCCCTTTCTGGAGGGGGGAGAAATTCCAGTCCCTGCCCCAAGGACTGTTTATACATTTCAGCCAAGGCTTGTTACATATAACTATGTGTAAACAGTCCTTGGGGCAGGGACTGGAATTCCTGCCTCCATCTGTCCCAGGAAAAGCCCAACTCACCCACCCTCAAGTTGCACTCCCTTCCTCATCCAGTAAAGCTTCAGGATGGAGGAGAGTGGTCCAAGTTTTACTAAACCTTTAGTTCCTCTTGGCTTATTGACTAAGGAGTTACTAGTATGGAGCAGACCCAAGTAGCTCCACGGAAAGGTAAAGTGTTTTGAGGCCAAACACAACTCCATGCTTCTAGAAACAAGAGGACAATATATGGATGGTGGGTTTTTTTTCCAATCAGTGCCCAGTTAGATGGTCTGGGAGATGTTCATGGGGGTGTAAGGCTGTACAAAGCTCTGCTGAGAGCAGGACTTTAGGAGAATGAGACCCAAACTGGGTGAAAGAAGCACAGTTAAAGTTAGCATGAAGATATAGTTAGCTCAGTCTTTGGGAAGACTTCTCCATTTCCCCCCACCAAGCCTCTCACAGTCCTTCAGTTTTTTTCTTACTGTTTATTGGGCAGACTATAAAAGTTGAAAGAAGTGACTTAAACAGGGTTGCTGGGTTTCTGGCAGACAGTCAGAGCTCCTAGAACAGCAAGGATCAGGATGGCCAAACCAGCAATTGCAGCCAGCCCCAACACCATCCACAAGTGACCTGCATCTAGGAAGAAGTAAGGAGGTGGTTATGACCAGAGCCGGGACCCACCAGGACCAGAGCCAAAACCCATTCCCTGGGTTTGCCCTACCTTGTGAAGGCATTCTTCTAACTGAGTGATCCTGCCAACTGTGGATGAAGATAGGTCCAACCACAACATCTGCTTCTTTCAACATGGGATCTGAAAGGGAGGACTTTTGAGCACTCGAATTCATTTGAACATCTAGCTCTCCTAAGCCTTGGATTAGCACTGAGGAGCCAACAGGTAGTGAGACAGCTCCAGCCACCCAGCTCTGACCTAGTTGCCACAACAGTGACAAAGCCCAAGAGGCACACCAAGACCTACCAAGCTCAGAGGGTAGTTCTCTCCGGACACGTCCTCCTTGCCATCGGGAGGGAGTGTGGAGCCTCCTGGAGTGCCTGGCCAAGCCACAGCTCCTCATCTCACAGCAGGAACAGACATCCTGGGTGCCTTCCACAGGAGCCCAGCTAGAAAAGAACCTAGTGAGCAGCCCACCCTATGGTAGGAATCCCTCATGCACTTTGGGGTCTCCTAGGAGAGACCCAAACCCTACCACCCAGATGGTCAACCCCACCTTCCTCTAAGTGACACACCAGATGAGAAACCCAAGCTCTTCACTCTTAAGCAGGCTGCTCCTGTAGCTACTCACAGGTTGCTGGCTTTGTTGAAGGAGCAAGCCTTGTTCAGAGGGTCAGGAGCTTGGTCAACCAGAGAGACCTTCAGGTGACAGGTGATGTAGATCTGGGGAGACCAGGCAGAGCAGAGGGGTTAGGCTGTCATTTGCCTTTATAGCTTTCCCATGCATCATGAAGTTGGTTTTCAATGGGACCACCAACTCCCCAGGGCAACTCAGTCCCCTCTGCCTCCTTCAAGCCACTTAAGGGCTCAGCTATTGAAGCCCATCAGAAGGGCTCAGCTATTGAAGCCCATCAGAAGGGCTCAGCTATTGAAGCCCATCAGAAGGGCTCAGCTATTGAAGCCCATCAGAAGGGCTCAGCTATTGAAGCCCATCAGAAGGGCTCAGCTATTGAAGCCCATCAGAAGGGCTCAGCTATTGAAGCCCATCAGAAGGGCTCAGCTATTGAAGCCCATCAGAAGGGCTCAGCTTGACCAGCATCAGAACAGGTCTCCAAGGAAGATCCTTTGCTCAAAGGGCCATGATCCAGAAGCAGTAATACAGTGTGACCTCAATCATGTGTTGCTATGAGGCAGTTGCCCTAGGAATGTAATTCTAGGCAAAACCATGTCAACTTCCTTACTGGAGTGAGGCTGCAGTCCCACCTAGACAGGAGACTTCACCAGCTTTAGGAAGTATTTACCAGATTGCTGGAGTCTCCCACAAACTTGAATGCATCTACTGCAAACTGAAGCACATCTTGCCTGGGTCTTGGGGATATAAAAGTCGAGGTGGCATCATCCAGTTGCCCATCCACCAGGCACCTATGTACAGAAGAGAGGGCCAGCAGGATCCCTTTGCCAGAGAGATCCGTAACTTGCAGAAAGGCATCTGTAAATAAGGGCACAGCCAGCTCTTACCCACTGAAGTCAATGAAAGCATACTGGGGAGAAGAGCTCCTGTCTGGAGTCAGGGTAGCCACACAGTTGTCCACAAAGAGCCTTAGAGGTACATGGTTCTCTGTGTTGACCCCAGCTTGGAAGTGGAGGACCTCTCCCAGTTGAAATATGGTGGAGACTCTCTCAGCACTCCAGTCATCTGGAAGGAAAGAGGTCACCAGACATTCATGAATGAGAAGCCAGCTTGTGGTTCACTGCTTTCACCCAAGGAAATCCCAACAAGCACATGGTCCTGGGTACTCGCCACAACTGTACCAAACCTCAGCTGCTCTAACAGCACTGGGGTGATACCAGCACCAGCTGTGCCATCTAGTGGAAGCATGGCCCACCCAAGGTGCCCTGCACCAGAGGAGAACCTCACCAACAACCTACCATTCATGAGGCGCAGGGAGAAGGGCAGCTTCTCCTCAAAGGACAGGGTGGAGCGGAAGGGTGCCCATGTGGGCTTGACACCATTGCTGCTCACATTGTCCCTCCTGGGGAAGAGACAGCCATTGTTAAAGGCTCTGTGGAAGCAGAAGGGCTTGCTTGGTACCCATCCGCATCACCTCACCTTGGGTAGTGGCACTCAATAGGAACCACAGCAGGGCTGGTGCGGACAATGACAGGGTTGCCAGCAGAAACTGGCTTGTAATGTAGACTTGTGCTGTAAACTAGAGCATCAGGGGTCACCTGGGGAAAGAAACGACATTATCCAGTCATTAACAGCTCTGCTCCTTGGCCAAACACACAGAACAAAACATTTAAGCCTGGAGACTCAGTGCCGAGATGTTTCTTCTGGTCATCAGCCAGTAGCACTCATCCTGCTGCAGGAATGTTTCTCCAGCCTGTGCCAGGACAGCCTCTGGTCAGCAGCAGAGCTGGATGCAGAGATGCTCAAGCTGATTTTTTTTCTTCTGGTTTCCACACCCCAGAACAACAGACAGGAAGGTCTGTCCCACAGGAGTATCAGATGGTGACTTTTGCTCAGGAGGATTTAATGAATATATCTGCTGGCTGGAGCATGGGAGATACCTGCTCACCCTGGTGGCCCCAAGCCTCTCCCAGGCAAGAGAGACCACTTCAAATTTAAGCATTCTGAAGAAGCTTCATCCTACACTCAAGCAGAACCCAGATGCCTCCTAAGCTGCTGGCTTGCTGCAGTGGCTCCCAGCACCAGGTCATCCAGGCTCCACCCTGGAGGTGGCAGAAACAGCATGAATAGTCCTGGGACATTCAGATACCTCTGTATTCATCAGGAAAACCTTGATCCCTCTGCTTCTTGCATGTCTTCCCTGCTCTCACATCCCCAGATCTAGCTCCTGGACCAGACAGCACAGTTTCTACTGCTCATGAAAAGCAGACCAAGATGTTCAGCTTCTAGGGAAGGCTTTTGAGCATTTCCCTGAGCTCACCTACACCACAGCCCTCTGCCAGTCTCAGCATGCCAAGGTACAAGTCAAGAGGCAGACCCTCACCCCATGGCTCCAGCCCTCCACAACCTTACCTTGAGGGTGCTGCCACACTCATGCAGTCCAGCCACAAAAGTCACCATGGTCTCAGTAGCACTCCAGATTGCAGGCAGGCAGCTAGTCAAGCCCAGGGTCAGCTCTGCAGCCCTGACCAAGCGCCCCGTGCCAAAGAGGTCCTTGTGCACTGTGACCACCATCTGAGCCTCCTGGCACTGCACAGCTACAGGGTGCAGTGGGGCAGCAGCCTGGAGCTGGGAAACATCCACCCATGCCCAAGGAGAGGGCTGGGAGAAGGCACGGGGCTGCCCCAAGGAAGGATCTCCTCCATACCTCCAGAGCTCTGCCTCCCCTCTAATGAAGCCCCAGGGGTTGTAAGTAACTACCTCTCCAAAAACCCAGCAGAAAAGAGCAAACCCCAGGCTGCTTCCAGGCTTCATCTTGCCTACTAGGGTCCAGCACAAAAAGCAGCTGCTGCCCAGGGACTTTTTATAGCCCACACCTCCCATGTCCCACCCCAGGTGATGCTTGGCACACCTCCCATAAGGGCAAATGGCAACAGCTGAGAACACCCAGTTCCCTGAGGAACCCATCTTTGTGGGCTCTAATGAACTAATGAGGTGCTGGCTTGGGTCTCTTGCCCACAGGGGAGAAGATGAGTTTGCTGTGCAGCCAACCACAGTCCACGTCCCCATCCCCCCC